GGCCCACAACAGGCAAAGTGGGACACTGTAGCCGATTGGACTGAAGGCAAATCAGCTTAGCCACAATAGTAGGGTGAACGCAATGGACATAGGAGACACCCCCCGAAGTGCCAGGTTCTGGTGAACAGGGAACATTGCACTACAGGGCACCAGAGAACTACTACTTCATAAGCCCACTACGTCCAAGATCAGAAGACATAGTTGACTTTCCTAATACATATAGACAACCACAGTGTTGGACAAAATGAGAAGACAGAGAAATATGTCCCAAATGAAAGAACAGGACAAACCCACAGCAAAAGAGCTAAATGAAATGGAGATGTGTAATATACCTGAGAGAATGTAAAGTAATGGTCATAAAGATACTTAGTGGATGTGAGAAAAGAGTGGAGGATCTCAGTAAGACTTCACCAAAAAGATAGAAAATATAAAAGAACCAATCAGAGATGAAGAACTCAATAACTGAAATTAAAAATACACTAGAGGGAATCAATAGTAGAGTAGAGGAAGCAGAAGAATGGATCAGTGAGCAGGAAGACAGAGTGATGGAAAGCAACCATGCTGAATGGCAAAAAGGAGAAAGAATAATAAAAAATGAGAACAGGTTAAGGGAACTCAATAACATTATCGAGTGTAATAGTATTTGCATTATAGGGATCTAAGAAGGAGAAAAGAAAGAGAGGCAGAAAATGTATTTGAAAAAATAACAGCTGAAAACTTCCCAAATCTGGGGAAGGAAACAATCCAGATCCAGAAGACACAGAGAGCAACCAATAAAATCAACCCAAGGAGATCTACACCAAGACACTTTAATTTAAAATGGCAAAAAGCAGTGATAAGAAAAGGAATTTTAGGGGCACCTGGGTGGCTCAGTCGTTAAGCGTCTGCCTTCAGCTCAGGTCATGATCCCAGGGTCCTGGGATCGAGCCCTGCATCGGGCTCCCTGCTCTGCAGGAAGCCTGCTGCTCCCTCTCCCACTCCCCCTGCTTGTGTTCCCTCTCTCGCTGTGTCTCTCTCTCTCTGTCAAATAAATAAATAAAATCTTTGAAAAAAAAAGAAAAGGAATTTTAAAAGCAGCTAAGGAAAGGAGATAGTTACATAAAGGGGAAAGCCCATAAGGCTATCGCGGATTTTTCAGCAGAATTTTTGCAGGCCAGAAGAAAGTGGCATGATATATTCAAAGTGCTGAAAGGAAAATCTGTAGCCAAGAATACTCTCCAGAAATGCTACGATTCAGAATAGGAGAGAGTTTCCCAGACAAACAACAAAAGTTAAAGGAGGTCATCACCACTAAAGGGATGTTACAAGAAATGTTAAAGGGAATTCTTGAATGTAAAGAAAAGGCCATAATCAGAAGTAAGAAAATTATGAAAGGAAAAAATTTCACAGGTAAAGAAAAGCAAAATAAGAGTAGAAGATTAGGGACACCTGGGTGGCTCAGTCAGTTGAGTGTCCACCTCTTGATTTCAGCTCAGGTCATGATCTCAGGGTTGTGAGATAGGACCCAGTGTTGGGCTCCATACTCAGATTCTGCTTGAGAATCTTTCTCCCTCTTCCTCTGTCCTTCCCCCCACCAGCATACTCTAAATAGATAAATTTTTTTAAAGAGTAGAAGATTAATCACTTATAAAACGAGTATGTAGGTTAAAGCACAAAAGCAGTAAAATCAATTATCTCTATAAAAATAAGTCAAGAGGGGTGCCTGGGTGACTCAGTTGGTTAACTGTCTGCCTTCAGCTCAGGTCATGATCCCGGAGTCCTGGGATCAAGCCCCAAATTGGTCTCCCTGCTCAGTGGGGAGCCTGCTTCTCCCTCTCCCTCAGTCGCTCCCCCTGCTTGTTCTCTCTCTTTCTCACCCCCACCACATAAATAAATAAATAAATACATAAGTAAATAAATAAATAAATAAATAAAATCAGTCGAGAAATTCATGAAATAAAAGGATGTAAATTATGCATTCATATACATAAAACATTGGGGAGAGTAAATTTAGTGTTTTTAGAATGGGTTCAATCTTAAGTGACCATCAACTTAATATAGACTGTTATATGCATAAGATATTATATACAAACCTAATTATATATAAACCTAATGGTAACCACAAATCAAAAACCTGTAATAGATATGCAGAAAAATTAGGAGAAAGAATTCCAAACATATCCCTAAAGAAAGTCATAAAAACACAAGGGAAGAGAGCAAGAGAAGAAAGAAACAGAGAAGAACTACAAATACAATCTTAAAACAAGTAACAAAGTGGTAAGAAGCACATACTTATCAATAATAAATTCAAATGTCAATGGACTAAATGCTCCAATCAAAATATATAATGTGACTGAATGGATGAAGAAGCAAGACACATCTATATGCTGCCTATAAGAAACTCAATTCAGACCTAAAGACCCAAGCAGGTTGAAAGTGAAGGGATGGAGAAGCATTTATCACACTATTAAAAGTGAAAAGGAAACTGAAGTAGCAATACTTAGGTCAGATACAATAGACTTTAAAACAAAGACTGTGACAAGAGACAAAGAAGGACACTACATAATGATAAAGGGAACAATCCAACAAGAGACTATAACAATTGTAAATATTTATACACCCAACATGGGAGCACCTAAATACATAAACCAAATATTAACAGGCATAAAGGAAGAAATTGACAGTAATACAATAATAGTAGAGGACTTTAACACCCACCTACATCAACAGATAGATCACGCAGACAGAGAAACAAGGAAACAGTGGCTTTGAATGACACACTGGGCCAGATGGATCTAACATATATTCATAATATTCCATCCAAAAACAGAATACACCTGCTGAGGGCAGCTAACCTAGACACGAGCTTTTTGCTGCGCTTTACTCTAAACTCCAAGCTCCTGCACCTTGGTGTGACTGTCCTTCTGGGACAAACCTCCACCAGCCCCAGGGTGGCAAGTCACCCCCCTACCCTGCAGTGGATGAGTGAGGGTCTGTACCATGCCACATCCCTAAAGATTGGAGTTTTGTAACACAGTGGGTCTGCCTAGGATAAAACACAAGTGCACTGCATTGCCAGGCAGCAGATAGCTGGCACACAGACAAGGTGAAGGCAGGGATCTGAGGGATGCCTGGGACACATGGGGGGAGATTATTCCCTCTTCTGTGAGTGCTTCCAGGACAGCAGGGGGTGGGAACTCCCCTCTCCAGGGACAAGGGATAGAGCTGCCACAAGGGATAGAGCTGGCACCATTTCCCCCCCTACCCATCAGCATGGACTGACTTCAATAAGCAGCACAGCGCCAACAGTGGATGCCTGAGCTGCTTACATCAAGCCCCACCCCACTGCACTTTGCAGGTGCTTCTTACTAGGGTAAGTGTGCCTAAGAACCAGAGCAGTGGGCCCTTCCCCCAGAAGGCCAGCACAAACCCCCTGAAAGCACCAAGTCTACAGATCATAGAGCGCTGCAAAGCTTCAGTTCTAGTGGAAATAGCATCAGGCCTCTTTTAACAAGCAGACCAGAGCACACCTAGTTAAAACTCACCACACTCTGAACAACATCCAAACACTCTCACTGCAGTCTAGGAGAAACTCTTCAGAAGACTGACCTGAGGGAAAGAGCAGCCAAAACACAGCAGCAGGTGCACAGAGCACACACCAGAAACACTTCTTGAAGCTCCAGGCCCTTGACAGCATATGACTTCCTAATAAAGCCATTACTCTCAGGAACAGGAACATAACAGGCTTTTCTAACACAGAGAAGAAGACAAAGACCTAGACAAAATGCCAAGATGGAGGAATTCATCCCAAAAGAAAGAACAAGAAAAGGTCATGGCCAGGGATCTAATCGAAATGGATATAATTCATATGCCTGATCCAGAATTTAAAACAACAATCATAAGGATGCTAGCTGGGTTTGAGAATAGCATGGAAGACAGTAGAGAATCCCTTAACACAGAGATAAAAGACCTAAAATCTAGTCAGGCTGAAATAAATTCTGTAACCAACATGAAAAACTGACCGGATGTAATGACAAGATTGGAAGAAGCAGAGGAATGAAAAAGTGATATAGAATATAAAATTATGGAAAATAATGAAGCTGAAAAGAAGAGGGAAAGAAAAATATTGGATCACAAATGTAGACTTAGGGAACTCAGTGACTCCATAAAGCATAATAACATTTGTATCATAGGTGTCCCAGAAGAAAAGAGGGAAAGGGGGTCTGAAGATTTATTTGAGGAAATTATAGTTGAAAACTTCCCTAATCTGGGGAGGGGAGCAGACATTCAAAACCAGGAGGCACAGAGAATTCCCACCAAAATCAACAAAAGCAGGCCAACACAAGACATATCAGTCAAATTTGCAAAACATGGAGATTAAGAAAAAAAATCCCATAGGCAGCAAGGGAAAAGAAATCCCTAACTTATAAGGGAAGACAAAAAGTTAGCAGCAGGTCTATCCACAAAAACATGGCAGGCCAGAAGGAGTGGCATGATATATTCAATATGCTGAATGGGAAAAATATGCAGCCAAGAATATCCAGCAAGTCTGTCATTCAGAATTGAAGGAGAGATAAAGAATTACCCAAATGAAAACTAAAGGAGTTTGTGACCACTAAACCAGCCCTGCAAGAAATACTAAAGGGTACTCTTCAAATAGTAAAGAAAGACCAAAAGTGACAAACACTAGAAAGGAACAGAGAAAGTCTCCAGAAACAAAGACTTAACAAGTAATAAAATGGCACTAAATTCATGCCTATCAATAATCACTCAAAATGTAAATGGACTAAATGCTCCAATCAAAATACACAGGGTGTCAGAATGGATTAAAAAACAAGAGACATCTATATGCTGCCTACAACAGACTCATTTGAGACCTTAAGACACCTGCAGATAAAGTGAGGGGATAGAGAACCATTTATCATGTCAATGGACGTCAAAAGAAAACTGGAGTAGCCATATTTATATCAGACAAATTAGGTTTTATTTTTTTAAGATTTTATTTATTTATGTGACACAGAGAGAGAGAGAGCACAAGCAGGGGGAGCAGCCAAGAGAGAGGGAGAAGCAGGCTCCCCACCAAGCAGGGAGCCTGACATGGGGCTTGATCCCAGGACCCTGGGATCACGACCTGAGCTGAAGGCCAGGTTCTGCGCATGACCCAAAATTCCAAAGCTCGTGATGTCGGTAGCGGTGTGAGCACTGAACATGTGCATGAGCCCCGAAGCTGTTCTGTTGAGCTTCGCCATGTTCATCATTGCTTCCTGGTACGCCAACTTGACATCTTCTTGGGTGACCACTAGTTTGATCTTATTCCATTTTTCAGGAATGTCCAGCCACTGGTGCACGGTCACAGCCATCTGCATCCCCAGGGTCTTCATCAGCACAAGCATGTCCCCTGGCACCACGTTATCCAGCATGAGAAATTCACTGGGCTGGCAGAGAGTTGTGGCCACTCCTCCCAGAACAATCCAGGGGTTTAACACCATCTGGCCACTGGTCACAGATGTTCCTGCCTCCTTCGCTGCATCTCTAAAACCCTGTATAATTAGGGGCATAACTTTATCCCTTTCCCTGTAGGTCATTTTATTACTGATTCCAAAGAGCATCAGCATATTGTCACATTCCATGACCCCCATGGTGTAGAGGTCACTGAGAACATTGGCACATGCTATCCTGCCCATCACATAAGGGTCACCGATGATAGGATAGATGTAATCCATGGTTTGAACCAAACAGAGACTGCCATGCCTCAAAGGAATGACACAAGTATCCATTCCAATGCCAAGCTAGAACTGATAGACAAATTCAGTAAAGTAGCCAGACACAAAATAAATGTACAGGAATCTGTTGCATCCCTATACACCAATAATGAAGCAGCAGAAAGAGAAATCAAAGAATAAATCCCATTTACAATTGTGCCAAAAACCATAAGATACCTAGGAATAAACCTAACCAAAGAGGTAAAAGATCCGCACTCTGAAAACTATAAAACACCTATGAAAGAATTTGAAGATGACACAAAGAAATGGAAAAACATTCCATGTTCATGGATTGAAAGAACAAATATTGTTAAAATGTTTATACTAGCTAAAGAAATCTACCCATTTAATGCAATCCCTATCAAAATACTACCAGCATTTTTCACAGAGCTAGAACAAACAATCCTAAAATTTTTATGAAACCACAAAAGACCACAAATAGCCAAAGCAACCTTGAAAAAGAAAAGCAAAGTTGGAGGTATCACAATTCTGGACTTCAAGTTATATTACAAAGCTGTAGTCATCAGGACAGTATGGTACTGACACAAAAACAGACACATAGATCAATGGAACAGAATAGAGAGCCCAGAAATGGACCCTCAACTCTATGGTCAACTAATCTTCGACAAAGGAAAGAATATCCAGTGGAAAAGACAGTCTCAGGGCGCCTGGGTGGCTCAGTCATTAAGTGTCTGCCTTTGGCTCAGGTCATGATCCCAGGGTCCTGGGATCAAGTTCCACATCAGGTTCTCTGCTCAGCAGGAAGTCTGCTTCTCCCTCTCCCACTCCTCCTTGCTTGTGTTCCCTCTCTCACAGTCTCTCTCTCTGTCAAATAAATAAAACCTTAAAAAAAAATTAAAACAAAAACAAAAACACAATGAGCTACCACCTCCCACCAGTCAGAATGGCTAAAATTAACAAGTCAGGAAACGACAGATGTCGGCAGGGATGCAGAGAAAGGGGAACCCTCCTACACTGTTGGTAGGAATGCAAGCTGGTGCAGCCACTCTGGAAAACAGTATGGAGGTTTCTCAAAAAGATTAAAATAGAGCTACCCTACGACCCGGCAATTGCACTACTGGGTATTTACCCCAAAGATACAAATGCAGTGATTTGAAGGGGCACCTGCACCCCAATGTTTACAACAGCAATGTCCACAATAGCCAAATATGGAAAGAGCCCAGATGTCCATCAACAGATGAATGGATTAAGAAGATGTGGTATATATACACAATCAAATATTATACAGCCATCAAAAAAATGAAATATTGCCATTTGCCACAATGTGGTTGGAATTAGAGGGTATTTTGCTAAGCGAAGTAAGTCAATCAGAGATAGACACTTGTAAGATCTCACTCATATGTGGAATTTAAGAAACAAAACAGGATCATAGGGGAAGAGAGGAAAAAATAAAACAAGATGAAATCACAGAGGGAGACAAACCGTAAGAGACTCTTAATCATAGGAAACAAACTGAGGGTTGCTGGAGGGGAAAGGGTGGAGGGATGGGGTAACTGGGTGGTAGATATTAAGGAAGGCACGTGATGTAATGAGCACTGGGTATTATAATATAAAATATAAGACTGATGAATCACTGACCTCTCCCTCTGAAATCAATAATACATTATATGTTAATTAATTGAATTTATATTTTAAAAAATGAAAAAATAAAAGTAATAAAAATTAAAAAGGCAAACACTTTGAAAAAAAAAGAATTCAGTAAAATTGCAGGATACAAAGTGAATACAGAGAAAGCAAATGTGTTTCTATACACTTACAACAAAACAACCAAAAAATAAATAAATAAAACAGTCCCATTTATAACAACATCAAAAACAATGAAAACCTTAGAAATAAATTTAACCAAGGAGGTGAAAGATCTCTATGCCGAAAACTTTAAGATTTTGATCAAAGAAACTGAAGAAGACGTGAACAAATGGAAAGATAGCCCATGTCCATAGATTGGAAGAATTAATACTATTAAAATATCCGTATTACCCAAAGCCATCTATAGATTCAATGCAATCCCTACCAAAATTCCACTAGCTTTTTCACAGAATTAGAAAAAATAATTCTAAAATGTGAAGCCACAAGAGACCCAAAAGTCATAGCAATCCTGAGAATGAAGAATAAAGGCAGGGGCATCATGCTTTTTTATCTCAAACTATGCTAAAAACTACAGTAATCAAAATAGTATGGCACTGGCATAAAAACAGACACATAGACAACAGGACAAAATTGAAAGCCCAAAAATAAATCCTCATATATATGATCAACTTATATTTGACAAGGGAGCCAAGAATATACAATGGGGAAAAGATAGTCTCTTCAATAAATGGTGCTAAAAAAACTGGATATCCACAATGCAAAAGAATGAAATTGGACTCCTATCTTACACCATTCACAAAAACTAACTTGACATGAATTGCTGAATTATTATATTGTACACCAGAAACTAATATAACACTGTGTATTAATTATACTTGAATTAAAAATGAATTAATGTGACATAGATTAACAACTAAATGTAAGACCTGAAAACTTGAAACTCCTAGAAGAAAACAAGGAAAAGCTTCCTTACATTGGTCTTTTCAGCAGTTGCCTGCCTATGACACTGAAAGAAGAAACAAAAGCAAAAATCTATAAGTGGGGGGCACCTGAGTGGTTCAGTCAGTTAAGTGTCTGCCTTCGGCTCAGGTCATGATCCCAGGGTCCTGGGATCAAGTCCTCCATCGGGCTCCCTGTTCAGTGGGGAGCCTGCTTCTCCCTCTCCTCCCTGCTCGTGCTCTCTGTCTCTCTCTCTCAAATAAATAAATAAAATATTTTTTTAAAAAATCAATAAGTGGGACTACATCAAACTAAAAAGCTTCTGCATGGGGGTGCCTGGGTGTCTCAGTCGTTAAACATCTGCCTTTGGCTCAGGTCATGATCCCAGGGTCCTGGGATTGAGCCCCGCATCAGATTCTCTGCTTGGTGGGAAGCCTGCTTCTCCCTCTCCCACTCCCTCTGCTTGTGTTCCCTCTCTCACTGTCTCTCTCTCTCTGTCAAATAAATAAATAAAATCTAAAAAAAAAAAAAAAAGATTCTGCATAGCAAAAAAATTAACAAAATGAAAAGGCAACTTGTGGAATGGAAGAAAATACTTGTAAACCATCTATCTGATAAAGGGTCAATATCCAAAATATATAAATAACTCATACAACTCAGTATTTAAGAAACCCAATTTTTTGGGCGCCTGAGTGGCTCAGTCATTGAGCGTCTGCCTTCGGCTCAGGTTATGATCCCAGGGCCCTGGAATCGAGTCCCACATCAGGCTCCCTGCTCTGCCGGAAGCCTCCTTCTCCCTCTCCCACTCCCCCTGCTTGTATTCCCTCTCTCACTGTCCCTCTAAGTAAATAAAATCTTTAAAAAAAAAAAAAAGAAAGAAACCCAATTTTTTAAAAAAGAGCAGAGAAAATGAATAGGCACTTTTCCAAGGAAGACATACAGGTGGCCAACAGGTACATGAAAAGGTGCCTGACATTGCTGATCATGTATACACACGCACGCACACACAAATTGAATATTTTTCAGACACAAGAAAGAAGAAAAACCTGTCATTTGTGACAACTTGGGTGAAACCTGAGGGCATTATGTTAAGTGAAATGTTAGACTGAGACAGATACTGTATACATTCATTTATATGTGGTATCTAAAAAAGCCAAACAGAGAAACAGAAAGTATAGTAGTGATTACCAGGTCCTGGAGGTGGAGAAAATGGGAGATATTGGTCAAAGGGTACAAATTGCAATTATAAAATTAACAATTCCTAGGGATTTAATAGCATGTTGATTATAGCTAATAATACTATATTACATACTTGAAAAATGCTATGACAATATGTCTTAATTGTTCTCACCACACAAAAGCAATGGTAATTATGTAATGGGATGGAGGTGTTAGCTAATGTCATGTTGGTGACCATTTTGCAATACATAAATGTATCAAATCAACACAATATACACCTTAAACTTACACAATGTTATATGTCAATTATATCTCAATAAATTGGGGGCAGAAAGAAGAAGGAAATCATAAAAGCTGCCAGAGGAAAATGATACATTATGTACAGGAGTACTGTCGCAAGAATGACAGCTTAATTCTCATCATAAATTATGGTGTACAAAAAAAAAAATTATGGTGTACAGAAGACCTCGCTAAAGCTCTGAAAAAAAAAACCTATCAATCTAATTTGGTCATTTGTATCTTCTCTCTTTTTATCCTGATCAATGTGGTTAGATGTTTATGGATTTTATTGAAAAGCCAGATGTTGGGTCTTATAAATTTCTCTATTATCTTACAGTTATATATTTGAGTGGCTTTTTACTCTGGTCTGTTCTTTTTTTTTCCCCTCTGCTTACTTTGAATTTTTTTTTTCTCTTCCTTTTCTAGTTTCTCAAGATAGAGTGATTGGTTTGAGATCTTTATTTTATAATATTGGCATTTAGTGCTATAAATTTGCCCCTAAGTGCTAGCAGCATCCCACAAATCTTGATGAGTGGTCTTTGATTTTTATTCAGAACAAAGTACTTTCTAATTTCTCATTTGATTTCTTTTTTCACTTGTGGATTGTTTAGTAGGAGTATATGATTAAATTTCCCAGTATTTAAACACTTATCAAATATCTTTTCATAATTGATTTCTAATTTAAATCCATTGTGGTCAGAGAATATAATTTGAATTATTTGAATGATATATTGTTGGGTAATGTGTCAATCAGGTCAAGTTGCTTGTTAGTGTTGTCCTAATCTTCTATATCCTATTGATTTTCCTGTCTGCTTGTTCTATCAATAACTGAGAGAGAAATGATGTAGTCTCTAAGTATAATTTTGGATTTGTCTACTTCTTTCATTTCTATTGTTTTTGCTTCATATAATTTGAAGCTTTGCTATTAGGTGCAAAAATGCTTAGGATTTGTATATCCTCTTGTTAAATTGACCCTTTTATCATTATGAAATAATCTTTCTTATTCCTTGTAACATTTTTTTGCTTTGATATATACTGTATCTGGTGCAAATGTAGGAACACTGGCTTTCTTTCTTTCTTTCTTTCTTTCTTTTTTTTTTGATTTTATTTATTTGTGAGAGAGAGAATGAGAGACAGAGAGCATGAGAGGGAGGAGGGTCAGAGGGAGAAGCAGACTCCCTGCTGAGCAGGGAGCCTGATGCGGGACTCGATCCCGGGACTCCGGGATCATGACCTGATCTGAAGGCAGTTGCTTAACCAACTGAGCCACCCAGGCGCCCCTGGCTTTCTTTTTATTAGTGTCATCATGTTATATCATTTTCCACCTTTTTGTTTTTAGCCTATATTTGTCTTTATATTTAAAGTGGGTTTCCTACAGGCAGTATATGTTGAAGTCTTCTTTTTTATTCACTCTAACAATCTCTGCCTCTTAAATAGAATTTATAAACCATTTATATTTAAGGTGGTTACTGATATGATTGAGTTTAAATCTATAGCTTTGCTATTTATTTCCCATTTGTCCTATCTGTTCTGAATTATTCCTTTTTCTGCCTAATTTTGAATTTTTACAATTCAATTTTTTGTCCTATATTCACTTATTTTTAAAATATTTTTAAAGTGGTTTTATTTAGGGGCACCTGGGTGGCTCAGTCAGTTAAGTGTCTGACTCTTGATTTTGGCTCTGGTCATGATCTCAGTGTCGTGAGATAGAGCCCTGTGTCAGGCTCCATGCTGAGCATGGAACCTACTTAAGATTCTCTCTCTCCCTCCCCCTTTGCCCCTCCCTCCCCACTTGTATGCATGTGCACACATTCTCTCTCTCAAAAACATAAAAATTTAAATTTAAAAATTTAAAAACATAAAGTGGTTTTATTTATAATATACATCTTTTTTTTTTAAAGATTTTATTTATTTAACAGAGAGAGACATAGCAAGAGCAGGAACACAAGCAGGGGGAGTGGGAGAGGGAGAAGCAGGCTTCCCGCAGAGTGGGAAGCCCGATGTGGAGCTCGATCCCAGGACCCTGGGATCATGACCTGAGACAAAGGCAGACACTTAACGACTGAGCCACCCAGGCGCCCTATAATATACATCTTTAACTTAACACAATCAACACTCAAGTAATATTATATCCCTTCATATATAAGATTTAAAAATACAAGAACAGTAGGCATCCATTTCTTCTCCCCTGGCATTTGTGCACTGTGTAATACATTTTATTTCTACATGTGTTTCAATCCCAATATAGATCATTATTCTATTCTTTTATTTTTTAAAAAAAAAGATTTTATTTATTTATTCATGAGAAACACAGAGAGAGAGGCAGAGGCAGAGGGAGAAGCAGACTCCCCACAAGCCCGATGTGGAACTCGATCCCAGGACTCTGGGATCATGACCCGAGCCGAAGGCAGATGCTTAACTGACTGAGCCACCCAGGCGTCCCATCTATTCTTTTATTTTAAAGAGTCCATTTTATTCCAAATAGAATTTATATATTGGCTAACTGAACATAATAAAAAAAATAATCAAAAAATTAAAAATTAAAAAATGCATATTCTGTGAACAACTGGGGAAAAAAGAATTTTAATGTAAGAAAACTATTATAAAAGTATTATACTCTCTGTGTGTATATATAATACATAACTATATATAATTATGTATATTATAAATATATATAAATATACATATCTTTGGGAAGGTCTTCTTTACTCTGAGGTTATAGAAATATTCTTCTATAATTTTCTAAGACTTTTTTATTTTATTTATTTTTAAAGATTTATTTATTTATTTATTTCAGAGAGCAAAAGAGAGAGAGCATGCGCGGGGCGGGGGGCAGCAGAGGGAGAGGGAGAAGCAGGCTCCCCTCTGAGCCGGGAGCCCGATGCGGGGCTCCATCCCAGGACCCCGAGATGCTTAACAGACTGAGCTACCCAGGTGCCCCTCTAAGACTTTTTTTTTTTAAGATTTTCTTTATTTATTTATCTGAGAGAGAGGGAGAGAGAGAGAAAGATCACAAGCAAGGGGAGGGGCAGAGGGAGAGGGAGAAGCAGATTCCCCACAAGCAGGGAGCCCAACATGGGGCTCAATTTCAGGACCCTGAGATCATGACCTGAGCCAAAGGCAGACACTTAATGGACTGAGCCACCCAGGTGCCCCTTTTCTAAGACTTTTATGGGATCTTTCTGTCTCACTCTTTAAATATGCAAGTCTTTAAGTTATCTGAAGTTAATTTTGAAGAAAGCTATAAGAGAGATATCCAACAGTTGTATTTCCCCGAATGTTCAGTCAGTTGATAAAGCACCATTTCCCTTGTGAAATAATCCTGATTTCTTCATTTATATTTGCAAGTTACCTTTATCATAAAATCCATGATTATTTAGACCTATGTCTGGCCTTCCTTTGATAGTCCATTTATCTGCCTGTGATGTGTATGTTTTATTTTTATTTTTTTAAAGATTTTATTTATTTGACAGAGAGAGAGATAGTGAGAGCAGGAACACAAGCAGGGGGAGTGGGAGAGGGAGAAGCAGGCTTCCCGCCGAGCAGGGAGCCCGATGTGGGGCTCGATCCCAGGACCCTGAGATCATGACCTTAGCCGAAGGCAGATGCTTAACGACTGAGCCACCCAGCCGCCCCTGATGTGTATGTTTTAATATTTCATAGGGCTTACTACCCCTAATTACTTTTTAAAATTTTTGTTCAGCTATTCTTATTTTTCCAAATATAAATGGCATATAAATAGCCATTTAATTATAGATTTTGAGCTCAGTTTCTTTTATTCAACATAATACATTTGAGATTCTTCCATACTGTTGCATGCACCAATAATTTGTTCCTTTTTATTGCTGAGTAGTATTCAATTGTGTGAGTGTGACACATTTTATCTGTTCCCCAGTTGAAGGACACTTAGGTTGTTTCTAATTTTGATAAACTGAAATCTGAGTAAAGCTGCTATAAACATGGCAGGGTTTTATGCAAACATAAATTTTATTTCTCTTGAGTGTATACTTGGAGAGAAGTTTCCGAATCATATGGCAAATGTAAGGTCAATTTTATAAGAGTAAAGTACTTTTTGTTAGGGATATTAGGAAGACGTTGTTTAAGGATACAAACCCACAAGCAGTAGACAAATAAGTCCTGGAGATCTAATGCACGGCATAGTGATTATAGACAACAATACTGTATTATAAACTTCACAGTTGCTAAGAGACTAGATCTTAGTTGTTCCCACCACAAGAATAAATGATAATTATGTGATGTGATAGAGGTGTTAGCTAATGCTATGGTGGTAATCATATTGCTGTATATAAATGTATCAAGTCAACACATTATATACCTTACACTTATACAATGTTGCATGCCAATTATACCTCAATAAAAATGAATTTTTAAAAAATAAAATACTTTTTTCTTTTTTTTAAAGATTTTTTATTTTCTTATTTGACAGAGAGAGACACAGCGAGAGAGGGAACACAAGCAGGGGGAGTGGGAGAGGGAGAAGCAGGCTTCCCACTGAGCAGGGAGCCCGATGCAGGGCTCGATCCCAGGACCCTGGGATCATGACCTGAGCCAAAGGCAGGCGCTTAATGACTGAGCCAGTCAGGCACCCCTAAAATACTTTTTTTCTTCAAAAAAAAAAATCCTCTTGGTGTTTTCATTGGGATTACAATAAACTGCTGTTTTTAGGGGGAAATGACATTTTTTTCTTTCTTTTTTTTTTAAAGATTTTATTTGACAGAGAGAGACACAGCAAGAGGGAACACAAGCAGGGGAGTGGGAGAGGGAGAAGGCCGGCTTCCCGCGGAGCAGGGAGCCCGATGCGGGGCTCAATCCCAGGACTCTGGGATCATGACCTGAGCCAAAGGCAGGCACTTAATGACTGAGCCACCCAGGCGCCCGGGAAATGACATTTTTATGCTGTTAAAATTCCCATTCAGGGCGCCTGGGTGGCTCAGTTGGTTAAGCGACTGCCTTCGGCTCAGGTCATGATCCTGGAGTCCCGGGATCGAGTCCCGCATCGGGCTCCCTGCTCAGCAGGGAGTCTGCTTCTCCCTCTGACCCTCCTCCCTCTCATGCTCTCTGTCTCTCATTCTCCCTCTCTCAAATAAATAAAATCTTAAAAAAAAAAATTCCCATTCAATAGTCTTTTCATTTATTTAAATTCTGTGTATATTTGTCCCTTAGGAGGAATTTAGAGTTTTTTCAATATTCATTAATTCAACAAATATTTAGTGAGAGCCAATTCTGTGCCTTGAAAATTAGTACTGGGTTTGGAGATTTAAATTTGGAAGTTGTAGATATCACTAAGAAAGAAACTTAGCATGTCCCAAGTTCATACACTAAGAAAGTGTATGTAGAATAGAGATATAAAGAAAGTTATTCCTAGTATAAGACAGAAGTAACCAGAAAAGCTGAGAAAGATCCCCCAGGAAGGCAGAGAAAAACCAACAGACTATGATATCATGAAAGTCAAAAGAAAGGGGTGGGAGGGAGAGAAAGAGAGAGATCAGTCGTGACAAATGGATAATTAACTATTGAAATTATGGCGATTGAATCATTAGTCCACATTAATCCACAGAGAAAGGCTTGGCAGGCCCATCTTCATTTCTTAAATATTTGGTCATTTTGTTCAATGCCACTTAAAAAAAATCCATTCTTTCTCCATGATTCAATAAGCTGTCACTATTATATCTTAAACTATCTTTGAGTCTATTTTTTTAAAAGATTTTACTTATTTGAGAGAGAGAAAGCATGAGAGGAGCAGGGTCAGAGGGAGAAGTAGACTCTCTGCTGAGTGGGGAGCCCAACACAGAGCTCAATCCTGGAACTCCAGGATCATGACCTGAGCCAAATGCAGATACTTAACTAACTGAGCCACCCTGGAGCCCCTCTTTGAGTCTATCTGTGTGTTTTGTATCACAGTGGCCATCTATTTATCTACTAAAACTAGACTATTTATTAGTCATAAATATATACCTATATTATAAGACCTTAGTGAGAAAGATCCTGCTCATAGTTCTTATTTTCTAAATTTTCTTGCTTGATTTCAAGAATGTGTTCTTTTGGATAAACTTTAAATCAATCTTCATTAGAACATAATTAATTTAGATGGATTTAGGACTAGTTGACATTTCTTTTTATTATTATTATGTTCAATTAGCCAACATACAGCACCTCATTAGTTTTTGATGTAGTGTTCAACGATTCATTCGTTGCGTATAGCACCCAGTGCTCATCACATCATGTGCCCCCTTAAAGCCCATCACCCAGTTACCCCATCCCCCTACCCTCCTCCCTTTCTGCAACCCTCAGTTTGGTTCCCAGAGTCCAGAGTCTCTCATGGTTTGTCTTCCTCTCTGATTTCTTCCCAGTTTTTCATTCCCTTCCCCTGTGGTCCTCCACACTATTCCTTATGTTCCACATATGAGTGAAACCATATGATAAGTGTCTGTCTCTGCTTGACTTATTTCACTTGGCATAATCCCCTCCAGTTCCATTTCTACAGGGTCAATTTATCCTGTATAAAATATGATTTAGCCCTCTATCAATTCAAATTTTATTTTGTATTTATCAATAAAATTTTAGATCTTTAGTATGACCTGAACACTTAATATTAAGTCTAGCAGACTTGGCAGGTATAAAATCCATTTGTAAAATGAGCCAACAGTAAATTAAAATGCTTAAGTTCAACCATTAGGCCAGAAAAGAGCCAGAACTCAAGCCCCTGGCCTCTTGGCATGTCCCAAGTGCAACACCCTCAATATGACCTTACTGTGCTTGCCTGGCCCAGGAAGGTAGCGAGAGGCCACCTGCTGTGCCACTTTTTCTGTGAGCCATACTCACTGGAGCCCAACACTGCTCTAGTCTCTAGGAAATAAAGGTAAAACCTACTCCTAGCCTTGCAGCTTCACAAGTAGCCTACTGATAAATACAATTGCCGATCTGATGCTTTTGGAAGTAGGCTCAGAGGGCTCATGACACTTGCCAGAGGTGACACATCCTGCAAGTAAGATTTAAGAGCCTGAGCTCCCGGCGACAGCAGCATTCCCTCTGGGTTGGTTTCCACTCCCTTTCTCCCTTCCTCCTGAGCCAAGATTGCATGGCGGTCCTGGGTCCACTGGCAGAACCCAAGAACAGCAGTGGAACTGGGTGTCTCGGCAGAAAGGCCGGCCTCCTCAGAAGACACCCACCTAAGAAGCATAAAAGGGCGGATGCCACTGGGAGACGGAGAGGACTTGTGATAAGCCCACTCAGGTTATCGCTTGAGTCCACCCTCCAATGACCAGTGTGACATGTAAGGGGCTAAAGGCTCTGCAACGGTGGCAAATGCGGAGTCAGCAATAGGCTACGTGGACATTTTTATCCATCCAGAGTGGGGAATCCTGGGCTTACATATATGCTATTTAATCCACACACAGAATCCCCATTTTACAGATGAGAGAATAGCCTGAGAAAGAGAAAACCGCTTGCACCTGCTCCTGATTCGGCCTGACTCCAGTCCCCACGCTCTCAGTGACCACATGTGTGTCCCCCCCTCCCCTTCGCCGTGTCCTGGGACCTCCTGCCAGGCCTCGCACACTCTCTGCCAAGCACACAGACATGGGGCATGCAGAGCTAAGCTGCAGTTATTTTATTACAGCCAGCCTGATAGAGACTGAAGGAGGTGAGGACAGGTATGGGGATTCCAGCTTCAGGTGTGAAGAACAGAGCAGGAGGACAGAGCTCAGATCAGGCATCTGGGGCAAAGATTCATCTCCCCAACGAGGTCACGACATTCTTCAATGGGACCACAGCTTCAGAGATGCACTGCTTGCTGGTGGTGATGGTAGCCTGGGAGAGAGTAAGACGAGGAGGGACGGAAGACCTGAGCGCAAGGCAGAGCGAGCCATCCCCTCAGGATCACCCCGCTCCTCATCCTCAGGGATTCAGCTCCATCCCCAGCAAGAACCTCTGGCTGGAGAGGGAGCTGCAGTCCATCAGAAGAGGATGAAGATGACTCCCCAGTCGCCCATACACAGGTGTCAGGAGGAAGTCTGAACAACCAGCGAGGGAGGCAAGGAGATCAGAATCTTCTGGGCTGTGGGTCTATGTGATGTCTCCTGCACCTGAGACTCGTCTGTCAGGTGTGTGGGACCTATGGAATGTGGATGCGGATGAGGTCTCATGGCCCTGTGCGCCTATATTAATGCAAGAAATTCTGCTGCTTCATAAACCTCTCATTTTGCAGAACCAGCACTTAGAGGAAGAGAGTGATGAGACAGACTAATCAAAATCTACATAACTGTGCAACAAGAACAATGATGGACAAAGACAGTTCATCAGGGGATGCACTGACCAGCCCTGGGGAGCAGGTGCATGTAGCTAGAAGCTGCCTCGGGGGCCCCAGGCACCAACAACAACAGAGTGCAGCTTCTGGCTTTCGGCACTGAGAAGAGACAGATGGAAGTGGGACTCAGAGCCAAAGAACAGCCATCAAGGTGGGCAGTAAAACAGGCCGAAAACCAGAAGCCTTACAAGGCCAGGGAGTCCCTTCCTGAGAAGAGAGTCGAAGGGCAGGTGATCGGTTTCGACATTCCTAAAACAGAGCCGAGCGCGCTCCTACACGTGCAGGAGCCGAAGTAAGGACCCTTGTTTTCCTGCCGAAGGTTAAAATTCTACTCCTGCAATGCTGGCTCCCCTAAAAATCGCCTGAGTCACACACTTTCTGTGTCGCACCGATGTCAGTCCCCAATTTTCCAGCTGTATGTAAACTGGCACGAGAGGGACACGTGTGGTAGAAGAAGAGGCTGGATGTGCATGGGGCGTGTGGTTGCATACTCTGTGCTGCAGGATGGAGCAAAGTTTATGTGCTTGATTGTTTGTAGCTCGTGTCTGTCGAGGAGCCGCTGACGGCGCGGTCTATTTGTACGCGCACTGTTCCAATATGCTGCGTGTGCGGCAGCCGGGTGGGGATGGGGGGGAAGGACAGTCAATTACCATGACAGTCAGATCCAAGGCCTTGGCTTTGAGTCCCTTCTCATTGTAGCAATCCTGGATTTTTTCCATGGCTGCTTTTTCTGGTTCAGTGGCATTGACCAGATCAAGGCTGGCGTCCAGCGTTAACTTCTCTCCAATGGCCACGGCACCAAAGATCACATAAAAAATAGGGCAAGATTTCACTGAAGACACAAACAGAAAACACCTCAACAAAAGAATCACCAGGGTAGGAGGCTCCTGTTTCCCCACCACTTGACAGGACTTCACGTACCCGGGGTGTTCTGACTCACCTTCCACGGAGACCTACCCACTCCCAGGACTGCTTACATCCCAGACACAGAGACCATTTTCCAGGAGGCACTCTCAGCAGAAGGGAACAGTGTGAGGCGCCCCAGACTGCGCCTCAACACATACCAGCCTGCCTGCTTCTGACCTTCCGTTAAGCCCCACTACCCCCAACAAACTCCCCTACTGTGTGCACAACTAAGGACCCCTCCACCTCCAAACCTCTCCCTCCAGTCCATGCCTGAAAACCTCAGGGGGTTTATGCAGGACCCCTGGGTAATGATCTCCCAGCTGCCCCCTAACTCTGTCCCTAGAACTACTTGGAGATCACCATGGCGGGTGAGGGAGTGAGACAGAGCGAGGCAAGGATCAGGAAGGCCATCTGTCCCTCATTCCTACTCTCACCCATCTCGATGCCCAGCTCTTGGGTCACCAGCAAGGCCAGCACAAGCAGTGTGCCCTTCATAGTGCCAACCGCCAGAATGTTCTGCTCAGTGCAACGTTTCTGCTGCTTTTTAAACTACCAGCTCCCTGAGTCTCGCCCACACCCCTTTTAGGAGCTCCAAAGGCTTGTGGGCAGGGACCTGGCACATGCGGCTCCTTCAGCCCTTGGGCTGAAAGCCTTCTGGAGAGGATGCGGTTTTCCTTCGCCAAAGACCAACTGGAGCTCACATTTCTAAGTGACTTCACCCTGAGCCAACTGCTCTGTTGTCCCAGCCCCAACTGTGACCGCTGTTTCCTGCTACTCCTTCCCCGCAACCTATCCTGGCTCCAAGTGCAGTACTCTCCCAATCACAGGAGGGGTCAAGGACAAGTCTATACCACTACAGGTTGACAAAAGATCATCCAGCCTTTCCTGGGCCTAAGTTTAAGTCCTGGAGATAAGTATGGGGTGCTGGGCCCAACTAGAGCCTCTTGAACACCTTAACTGCTGCAGTCTCTGGATTGAGCCCCCAAGGATGGGTGGACACCATCCTTGGGCCCTGAAGCATGCCCTACCAGGGAAGTCTCAGGACTCCAATAACGCTCCAATATAGGATCATGTCACCTGCTTCCTTCTCACCCCTTCTCACCCCTGCAAATTCCTGGGCACCTTCTGGACTCCCAGTGGGTCCAGCCTTGGCCCTGACTCGCCCCCCTCCATCGGTGAACCTGGTCCCAAGAGGAGCTTGGACTTAATAGCCCATCCAGAAACATCAGTGAGTAGCTGTGGAGTTGTACAGTGTGTCGCCCGTGTCCCCTGGGAGCTTGAACTCTACAGACCAGAGTGCGAGGTCAACCAGAGGAGGCACTCCGTTGCCTTAAAATCCTTCAAGAGTTACACTCAACCTTCTACTCTAGAAAAGTGGTTTATTGGCACAAACAAGATGAGACAGTCCATGAAAATTCTAGAAGGAAGCTCCCAGTGGCCAAATCTGGAACAATTTAAGCAACAAAAGGAATGACATAGTATTAGATGATAACCCAAAGCATAAAATTGTATCTGTGAGTCCATACTGATGTAAATAAATGATTTAATAAAGAAGAAAATGAAGAGAAGAGACAGATATGCCTCACAGAAGCATTCCAAATAATACACATAGATACTGTCTTCAGGAAGTGGAGCTTATTGCCCTGTCCTCCTGGTGAGTGGGCTAGACTTAGCAACTCAATTCCAAAGAGTCCAGAAAGGGGAAAACCATGCAGAAACTTAGCAAACCCAACATTAATCAAATGATCAGGACTAGGGGCGCCTGGGTGGCTCAGACGGTTAAGCGTCTGCCTTCAGCTCAGGTCATGATCCCAGGGTCCTGGGATCGAGTCCTGCATCGGGCTCCCTGCTAGGCGGGGAGCCTGCTTCTCCCTCTACCTCTGCCTCTCTCTCTCTCTCTGACTTTCATGAATAAATAAATAAAACATTTTAAAAAAATGATCAGGACTAATATAACCAGTGATAAGACGTACTGATGTCACACATGCCATGATGTGATGTGACAATATAGCGCTTCTCCTCTTTGTAGTCTCCCCAAAACCCAAGGCCTGAACCCCAGTCTAGATTATGAGAAACACAGCAGACAAAATCAGTTTGGTGAACATTCTATAACACCTGGCCAGTCTTCAAGACCATCAAGGCCATGACAAACAAGGAAAGACTGAGAAATTGTCACAGATCAGAAGAGACTAGGGAGATATGACAATTAATGCCATGTTTAGGATATGGATCGGATTCCAGAACACAAAGAGGACATTAATGTACAAACTGGTGAAATCCAAATAAAGTTTGGAGTTTAGTTAGTAGTAGCATGCCAATGTCAGTTTCTTGGTTTTGACAAATCTTTGCAACTTTTCTGTAAGTCTAGAATTACCCCCAAATAAAAAGGTATTTAAAAAAAAAAAAAAACACTTGCATTACTAAGGGACTGCATATACTACAAGACCTTATCCAGAAAGTCCCCCTGACCTCAGCAAATGTCCCCACGTCGAGCGATGTCTCAGATGGTTTTGTGGCGCCCAGTGGGGCTGGACAGACATCAGCATCCTGTGTCACTCTAGCACTCCAAACTCTGGCTTCATCATCTCCTAGAGCTGGGAAGAACCTGAAGGAAGTGCCTAGTGAAGGACAGCAGACATACGATCCTTGCCCAGGTGCCCCCGCCACACTGAAATTCGGTCCCAGGAGAGAAAGAGCAAGCCATGTCCAATCTGGGGCATATGGTGCTCACCTTCCCAGGCTGATAAGTGCCCAAGAACCTCTGAGGGACATCCGCAGTGGCCTGAGCCTGTCATGAGATGACCTCACAGGGATGGCCTCTGGGCATCATGACTGGAGCGGCTCCATGGTAGCCACCTGACAGCTGGAGCTCAGGACTCGGCACCTCTTTGCCAAGAGCGGTTACCGGATGTGAATCCTGTTTGGCGTAAGGCTCTGACTGGGGTCAGAAAACTTTTGTCTTACCTTCAGCAAACTCTGTTCTTTCACAGATGCCTCAGAGAAAAGGCCAGGCAGGTACCTCCAGCAAGCAAGCATAAGGGAAAATGTTCTTGGTTATTATCAACTCCGCAGAAATAGGATATTCCTCTCGTTCGTCTAACAAACATCTGTGCAGCCCCTGCTACGTGTCCTTGTCCTGGGGACGCAGCAGTGCACACAGCAGAGCCCTCTCTCTCCCGGAGCTCATTATACAACTGAGAGGAAGTGGAAGACATCAGCGAGGGACAAGATGAAGCTGGGGAGAGCAGCAGGTGCTGTGGGGGAAGGGGCGGGGCCCTAGGGGGTCAAGCACGTGGGAAAGTCTCTCTGATAAGGTGCCGTTCGAAGAGAGCTGAGCAATTAGGCCCTGAATCACGTACTTGGAGGAAGAGCATTCCAGGCAGCGGGGGCCGCTCGTGCCAAGGCCCTGCTGCGGGAGTACAATCTGGAACCCAAAGCCTCCGACCGCTGGCATGGTCAAGAAGCAGAAGGAAGACCAGTGAGGGAGGAGAGAATGGCAGGGACAAAATCAGAGAGGCATCAGGTCTTCGGTGGCACACCGGGTATACAAAGCACACAGGGCTTGTAGGCCATAGAAGCTGCTCAGCTTTTCCTCAGAATGTACCTCTGGCAAGAGAACGGTGCGAACCGTATAGAGAAACTCAGAATAAGAGGCTGGTCAGGGCAAAATGCTATTTCTGAGTCAGACGGAGGTACTGCCAGACTAACTAGGTGACAGGAGCCGGTCAGCACAGAGGGGAGGATTCAGGGCTCCAGAAACAGACCCAACAGACTGGCTCAAGAGAGGCCACTGAGCAGGTCAAGGACAGAGATGAGGATGAAGGCAGGGCAGGAGCCACCAGAGAGTGGCCTTCTTTTGGCACTTACTAGCTATGAGACCATCGGCTCAGCACTGGGTTTCCTGAAAAATCCCTCAGTTGGGACCAAACGGTCTTCAAGGTCACAGGTAAGAGGCTGACATTGGCCATCATTCGGGAGGCCTGATTTGGGAGACTTTTTGCCCCTTTTCCCAGTCAACCTAGGAAATTTCCATTGTGAAACTTCTGGTGTCAGCTGCCACTTGGACAGAGCCCTCCGATGGGGAAGGGAGGCCAAGTTAGTGTCCTTTGTTGACTCAGGGACTTGGGATCTTGCCCACACATCCATCTCCTGCCTCCACGGATCCCAGGCAATTCCAAGCTGCAGCCCAGAGAGGGCCTCCTGGAAAAGGATGTGTCAGGCACAGGCCCCTCCTGCCCACCCCTCCAGCTGGTATAAAAGCGCTCCAGGCCTGGGAGGGAGCAGCTGTGGCCTGCAGCATGAAGCCGGCTGGTGCTCTCGTGCTCCTCTGGGCTGCTTCGCTCCTGCTCTCGGGCCGAGGTGGGCGCCTAGGGCCACGGGTTCTCCGGGGGTTCTGACGCCTTCCTAGGGCAGTTGTGAGCCTGTCAGGAGGAGGAAGGGAGGAGCATGACCTGGCGAAAGTCTTTCGACGGAGTGTCAGCTTATCTTTGTGTTCCAGATTGTAAAATTTGCTCAGCGGTGAGTGATGATGTTACCTTGTTCCTGACGGGCACCACTGAAGAATATGTCCAAGAAGTGGCACAATACCGAAATGAATCTATAATATTGGAAAATGCCAAAAGTCTGAAGGAGTGCATTGATGGGAAAATGACAGCGGACGACAAGACGAATGCTGTCAATGTGCTGGTGGGTCCAGCTCTATGTGTCCCTGTCTCTGGCGCCTGTCTGGGGGTCTGCTCAGGGCGGGACAGGGCAGGGCAGGAGGGGTGGGGGGCACCCATTTTTCTTCTCCACCATAGCCCTTCCCTGGGAATCCAGGATGAGAAAGACCTCATGGATGGGAAGTAGAGAGGATAGTGTGGGAAAGACTGAGCCCAGCCCTTGAGCTTTCCGGCCGGCCCTGGCTGCTCAGTGCTTCCCGGCCACCCGCCTGGGAGTCTGCAGGCCCTCCTATGTCCTTGGCATCGCCCAGCCTCAGTGTCAGGTCCTCAGCTCTGGCCTCCCTGACTCCAGCCTCTCCAGCATGTGAGCCTGGATCTTTAAACTGTTAGCATTGGGTCCTTCCTGTCTCCAAACATGGGCTCCTTTACCTTACCTCCTCAAGTTCCCCATTCCATCCCCCCTAAGACCCTCATTTGTCCTCATTCCCTGGGTCCCAGAGATCCATTCTGTGCCTCACCTGCCAGGAGAGCAGAGAGGGAGGGGAGGGGAGGGGAGAAGGCAGCTTCCCAAAGCAACCCCCCCCGGTCCTTCCTAGGCCTGAGATGCCCCGTGTGGAAAATCACAGTGAATCCTCTCTCTGCTGTCCCAAGAGGGGAACAAGCTACTGCGTCAAGCAGCAAGTGTCCAAGGGGCAGGAGGAGGAAGCAGAGCCGGAGACCCCCAGGTGCCCACAGGTGCATCTGGAGCCCCACCAGGACCTTCTCGGCCGCCTCTTTCCATTCTATCCACAAATGCCCCCCATCCCACCACAGTGACCCCTCTTCTTCCCTCTGCTCCCCTGGAGGAAGAGGCGCACCTGGGATTCTCTTGTGGTGCAGGAGATTGGGAGGAATCCACCTTTGCCTGCTCAGATCCAGAAGCCATCCCCCAAGCAAACCTGCAGTCTCCTCTCCAGGAAGGGTCCAGTGAGTGTTCAGCAGAGCTCGATGTCTCTTGTACCCCTTGAGGCCTCACCAGGTTTCCTGACTTTCTCTTTGCAGGATAAAATATACGCAAGTCCTTTGTGTTAACGGAGCCATCTCTTCCAGGAGCCCCAAGGATGTCACTTAACTGATCACTAACTGAGTAGTCTCAGCAGCCTACCATGTCCAGGTGTCTGAGTAAAGGATTCCAGCAATAAAAGCCTTGCAATCCATGGACAGTGCTTGCTCCTAGGCCTGGGCTTTGGGGGTGGAGGGGTGCAACAGCAGGGACCTCCAGGGTGCCTTCCCACTGTGGCTAGATTTGAATGCTGCTGGATGTTCTTCCTCCATGGAATGCCATGGGCGGGGTGGGGGCGGGGGGGAATGATAATTAGAAGAGCTGGGGTGGCTGAGCACTTCTGTGCCCCAGGACCCACAGGTGGCACAGGCCGCCTTGCCCAGAGTGAGACCCGGCTCTTGGCCAACGGCCAACCACTCTGACGCCCAGGGTCTGGCTGGGGGCTGCTTCTGAGATGGAAAACCGGCCCTGTGATAGCAAGTGGAGTCCAGGGGGCATAAGCAGGTTGTGAGGCCGAGACTCCTCCCATCACAGGTGCCCCAGGATGTGTATTCCACACTCGGCCATTCTACACATCTAAAAGCTCTGGGGCTTTCATAAGGAGAGCTGGGCTCTGAGAGAGATGAGTTGGATGGGTCTTCCAATGTCATGGATAAAGACTCACCCCGGTCCATGGCAAGTGCAGGGAGTGAGGGGCGCCCCACTGAAAGGTGAGAAGATGATGAGTGACGGGCAGTTTGTTCTCACTGAGACACAATTAGTCTCTCGACTGTTGCTCACCTCCCACAGAACTCCCTGGGGACGGCTAGTACACGAGGCATCTCGAAGTTGTCCTTGTGCACTGCCTTCTTCCAACCTGTGGAATCTTTATCTAATCTGGGGCCAGGGTAAAAAAATCAAGTGCAGGGGCGCCTGGGTGGCTCAGTCGGTTAAGCATCTGCCTTCAGCTCAGGTCATGATCTCAGGGGTCTAGGATCGAGTCCCACTTCAGGCTCCCTGCTCAGTGGGGAGTCTGCTTCTCCCCTGCCCCTCACCCCGCATTTGTGCTCTCTCTCTCTCTCAAATAAATAAATAAAATCTTTAAAAAAAAAAGTGGGGCACCTGGGTGGCTCAGTCTTTAAGTGTCTGCCTATGGCTCAGGCCAGGATCCCAGAGTGCTGGGATCGAGCCCCGCTTCGGGCTCCCTGCTCAGCAGGAAGCCTGCTTCTCCCTGTCCCACTCCCCCTGTTTGTGTTCCCTCTCTCCTGTCTCTCTGTCTGTCAAATAAATAAAATCTTAAAAAAAAAAAAAAAAGTCAAGTTCAGATGCCCTTCTAAATCCCATTCTGTTTGACATCCAAACTTCGATGGCTTGAAAGATGAATGTCAGAAACTTGAGGCTTTTGATCTCAGATTCTCACATGACCTTGCCTCTGAGATCATAAAAGCCCTGCCCCACTTCCACGTAGTCCCACCTAAGTTCATCTGAAGCTGTGGCAGATAATCCCCTCTTGGAGACATCATCCCTCCTCAAACACCTGCATCTCCCTTCACTGTTCGCTGGCCTTCCCCCCGACCTGGGAGCTTGCTGAACAACTCTTAGGCTCACTCTGAGAGTGTGAAGGAGTTTATGCCCACAGGCAACCCTCAAATAATACAGATCCCAGCCTCCTCGACTCAGTTATGGAGGTGAATTCCACCCTGTCTCTGATAAGATGTCCCGTGGTCTTGAGTCCCAGTTGCCCAGCCCTGTGGCTTTCCTCACTTTCC